TAGAATCAAAAAAATAGGGCAACATTGCTCACACATTTACCTTCTTTGCTCCAAAGCTCAGAAACTCAAAGTTAGTTCCAATTTGACCATTTCTTTGTGACAGTTACATGCCATTTATTACATACCAAATTATCACTGCCTGTCAATCTGCAGAAATGCGATCTTGGGTCTCCTGAAGATTTCCTCTCCAAAGCCTTAGATCCTCCTCAGCTTCAAGTGATCAGCAATGCAATGAATTTACTCCGAAAAATTGGAGCTTGCGAACTAAATGAGCCTAAACTGACTCCACTGGGCCAACACCTTGCAGCTTTGCCTGTGAATGTCAAGATTGGGAAGATGCTTATTTTTGGTGCCATATTCGGCTGCCTTGAACCAGTGGTAAGTCAAATGATGCTGCCATTTTGATTTGTCATTGAGGCTGGGAATAAACTTGGAAACTCATTTTAACTTTTAATTTCCTGTCTTTTAAAAACATTTCTATACATGAAAGTATCTTAATCTATCAAATTAAATGTACTGTAAATACTGTCTTTTAAGTGAGTTTGTCTTATCTAGGCTTCACTACCACTTATCCCACTAAAATACTGAGTTAATTGAATAGCTAGTAGATAGTCCTTTGAAGCTTTGAATCCACAGTCTTCCAAAAGCCGAAGCAAACACTTTCCTCCTTTTTTCGGGGGTATCTCTGAGCCAGCAGTACTATGTCCCCACCCTGTCTCAGAATCAAACACATTTTGCTCATGTGTCTCAATCTCTGGGTATCTGCCTGCTGTGCCCTTCCAGCTTTCCACCTTTAGGAAGCAGTGGCCCTTTCTGGGACTGCAAATCAAGACTTTAAGAACAGAATGGAAAGAGTAATGTGGTCCAGTCTCTTTTTCCCCCTATATTTGAAATAGATACTCAGCAGAATTGTGCAGAACTCCCAAAATAAACCCTGTTTTAGGAGCAAAATTTTTTTTTCCAGGAAATTTTACTTAGGAGTTGACCTGAAACGCTACAACAACAACAAATGGGTAGTTATAGAGACCGAATGCTCTTCAGTGGGCTTTACAGGCTATGGGAGTTCAGTGGACTAGTAGTCAAGATAATTGAGCTCTTATTCTGCATAGTGTACATTTAAATCACTTATACAGTGGGGCTTCAAAAAGTTCATGGGAAAAAATGGAAGTGAAAGACAAAGGAATTTTTCCACAAGCTTTTTGAAGCCTCCAAAGCCTCCATGTATTTGTTTCTTGGGGTGGGGGTGGGGGTTAACTCTGATTTTTGTCATGTTAATTCTTACCTCATAGAGATGGTTTAAAAGTAGTGAGATATGTTTTTAATATTTCATTAAAGAGAACTTTAAAATAACCATTTCAAATGGAGTTGACTGTTGTAGAACTTAGAAAACGTATTCTACAATGAAACCTGAAGCTCACAGTATGATTGTTTTATGATTTGCTTTCTTTTACCAATTAGCTTCGAAAAGATCTCTCTTTAATGATAAAGCATTTGGTTATTTACGGATAGGCAACACTGGCAGCAGTAATGACAGAGAAGTCTCCTTTTACCACACCCATGGGCCGAAAAGACGAAGCCGACCTTGCAAAGTCAGCTTTGGCTATTGCAGATTCTGACCATCTGACCATCTACAATGCCTACCTGGGGTAAGGAGTGACCTGGTTTTCCCAGTAAGCCAGTGACCGAGATGATTTGTTTTATAAACTGCTCGTCCTTGACATCAATTAAATGCATATCTCTAAGATTTATTTTTAGTAAGTTTTAGTCAAGTTAATATTTTAAAGACTCATATTTTTATAGTTCTGTCAAGGATCTCATTTTTCAAATTGCTTCCATGTATCTTTGGATTTTCATCACTCTTCTTTCTTGTGAACAAGGAGCAACCAATAGTTACACCTCAGACGACTGCTCCTGAGCTTTTAAGACCCCATTCACTACTCACAAAATTAGGATATAGAGCAGTTTTTGTGCAGTTACACCAATTGACCTTAGTGTCCCCTGAGACTTTGATCTTGACACCCCCGAGGCAGTGATTTATTTTCTGTTTCTAAGTAGTCTTTATAAACGCCTCTGTCCCTGTACACTCCATCACGTTCATAGATATATTCGCAGCACATGTAAAAATACGTACACAAATAGCCTCTGTCAGTGTATATTCGTGGGCATACTCCCACTCTCCCTCTCCCACCTGTTCAGCCTCTGTGTCTGCCTGTGCAAGTACCCACTCGTGGACCCCGACTGTTGCAGGATTTTGGCTTCCAAGCCGACCTGACTGGCCCAGCAGATCCCCTCAGAAACTAGTTTTAACTGAACCCTTTGTTTGAAGATACCCTATCAAGACTAAGACTATTAGCTGGGAGAACTTGTCTGCAGCCGTGTCTAAACATGTTTTATTTGAGACTAGCTCATGCATGTATGGACTGGGACCTTAGTCACAATGGTTTTGTCTTACCACATTTAGAATTACCTCATATTGGAAGTAATGGGTGGCATGGGTCACTCATTGGGTTGCTAACTGCAAGGCCAGCAATTCGAAATGCCAGCTGTTCTTCAGGAGAAAGATGCGGCATCCCACTCTATCTATAGAGCAGTGGTTCTCAACCTGCGGGTCACGACCCTTTTGAGGGTCCAATGACCCTCTCACAGGGGTCACCCGATTCAGAACAGTAGCAAAATGACAGTTATGAAGTAGCATAGAAAATAATTTTATGAGGAACTGCATTAAAGGGTCGCAGCATTAGGAAGGTTGAAAACCACTGCTATAGAGCCAGTTCATCAAAATTAACTTGATGGCAGTGAGCTCAGGCATTTTTTGGTTTGGTACAAATTACATCAACAAAAATAGCTGCATTTCTGTTTAAATTCTTGCGTATGGTTGGTAGCTGTTTACTACAAGCTCGATCCTTCCTCTTTCTAAATGATTTAATTTAAGTAGATCTTACTTTGTTTAGTACCTGTGACAAAGAGAGTTTGAGAAAAAGGCATGTTGAATTTTGGTCATTTAATTTATTTAGATGGAAGAAAGCTCGGCAGGAAGGAGGCTATCGTTCTGAAATGGCTTATTGCCGGAGAAACTTTCTTAATAGAACCTCACTATTAACCCTAGAGGTAAGTCTTAAGACACTTCTTATTCAGGGTTAGCTGACTGGTTAATATATTAGTTTTAGAAAAAGAACTTCCTAGTGTAGTGCCTGATATATAAGAAAGGCTCGATAAACATTTCTTCAATTAATAAATATGTAATATCCTGTTTAGTTATTTTTCCTATTAAGTAACCTGTATGCATTTTATACAGTGGTTGAAAAATAATATTCAATAATAGCATATCCAGGAAATGGTAAAAAGAAAGCAAGATATATCATGGAAGTATCAAAAGTTTTCCTAAACTCTGAAAAGGTTATTTTATAATTATTATGGAAAATTTCAAACACAAAAAATAGTCATATGGTGAATCCCCATTTCCCACTTCCGTAATTAGAATTGGCCAGTCCCATTTTTATTCCCCTATTCTGTGCTCTACTTTGAAGCAAATCCCAGGAATCAGATTATGTGTCTCTAAAATACAGACATGTTTTTATTAAAAAATAAACACCATACCCATTGTCGCTGAGTTGTTCTCAACCTGTAGTGACTCTCTAGAACACAGTAGAACTGTCCCAAGGGGGGTCCAAGGCTCGCATTTTTCTGGTGATTTCAAACCTCTGGCCTTTTGGTTCCCAGCTGAGTCCTAGAACCACTGCCCTACCATATCACACCCAAATAAGGCATTAATTCCTCAATGTCATCAAATATACCATTCGTGTTCAGATGTCACCAGTCAGCTCAGTAGTTTGTACAGCTAGTTTGTTCACATCCAGTCAAGGTCTGCACATTGAATTTGGTTGCTTTTTAAGTCTCTTGTTACTCCTCTTATTTTTTTCCTAACTTGCTATTTCTTTTTTGAAGAAACCAGATAAGTTTCCTGCAGTTTCCTGTGTTTTTGACATGACTGAGTAGTCCCTGGGTAGCATAAATGGTTGAGCACCAGACTACTAGCCAAAGAGTGAATGGTTCAAACCCATCCAGAGGGGCCTCGAAGGCCTCTACCAGTCTGCTTCCAAAAGGTCCCAATCTTAAACAATCCACAGAGTGCAGTCCGACTTTGCCCACATACGGTCATCAGGAGTTGGAATCAGCTCGAAGACAACTGACAGATATGGCTGATGGGTTTGGGTGTTTTTGTTTTGTTTCCGTTATCGCCCTCTTTTTAATTTTAAAATCCAACCATTATAAAAGTCCCTGTTGGAATTGGAATTATAACCACTACTGATAACAACCACTACTGAAACATACTCATTGTTTCATTAGAAGTTGGCAAGATTCTAAATCTGCGTATTAGCTAGAATTCTTTTATGAAGCTGAACCCTTTCTCAATATTTTATTGCCCTGAGGTATTGCTTATTTAAGAAAATTAAAATTAAAAACTTGACTCCTTCCTTTCACTGAGCAGTTTTCAGAATGAGTTGTACCCTAGAGCTCCATGGGTAATCAGCGGGTGCTTTTTTAATAAAAACCATTATTAACTCATTGACTTAAATAGATGATGTGTTTGGATCTACTGTGGGTGTTAAGTTTTTGATGCTCAAAATGCCGCATCTTTAGGCCAATGGGGACCCACCCCCATCATATCGACTCTATTCCCTTGCACAAACTCACTCCTTCCCCCAGCCCCTTGAGTCTTTGATAGCCTCCTGCCTTTGGCTTCCCTTGTATAATTGTTCCCGTAGACTGGGATCAACTATTGTTGTAAAAAGACCCAGCTTAATGCCAGCCAGTTAGTTAGGTACTACACAGTGACCGAGTAATAAAAAGACTTCATACTCGGTTGCCGTCAGGTTTTGACTGTAGTTTAGAACCACAATTATTTCTAGGAGGAAAGGGTAAAAATGTAGACCTCTAACTACAAAATGTAGTTAGAATGTAAAAATGCTTGGTTGGGCCACTTCCTTTTGTTCTTGGTGCATATTTTTATATTTACTTAACGGGAAATGGTATTGAGTGAATGTAGATTGTAAAAAGGCCAATTATAAGTGTTTTGTCTTTTGCATAATCCCCATCCTCATATTTGAAAAGGTGAAAAATATTTGTTCACCATGTCATGTGGCCCCCTATTTTTTTTTAAATCATTTTATTGGGGGCTCATACAACTCTTATCACAATCCATACATACACCAATTGTGTAAAGCACATTTGTACATTCGTTGCCCTTATCATTCTCAAAATATCCGCTTTCCACCCAAGCCCCTGGCTTCAGCACCTCATTTTTCCCCTACCTCATGAACCCTTAATAATTTACAAATTATTATTTTTCATATCTTGCACTGTTCGATGTCTCCCTTCATCCGCTTTTCTGTTGTCCTGGCCCCCTATTTTTCTGAAATTCAAAATAGCCACTGGAATGGCAGCCACGATAGTTCTTAGTGAAAATGACCTTTGTCCCCTTTCTCACAGGAGCTGAAGGGCTAAATTAAAGAAATAGCCAGCTTGGGTCAGTTGGCTGGGATTCAACATAGGGAAAGCTAATCAGCACTTCCTTGTCACCTCTTCACTTCTCCCCAAGCTCCAGATTGCCTCCCTCCCCACCCTCCCTCAGCGAGCCTTTTAATTGCCTCCTTGGAATCAAGTCTTTAGACAGCCTCTTCACACACCCCCACCTCCCCCCTGCGACAGCATCAGGTCTGTTTGGTCTTTCCTCCCATGGGGTCAAAGCCTCTTAAGACCCAAACCTAAATCCTAGAGGACATCCTAAATGTAAATACCATCCTTGCTTTTAATCACTTGTGGCCTGTTCACTTTGAGAAATATTCATCCTTCCTGTTGTATTATAGCTGATTGCATTAATAAAGGTACAAAGAGATTTTAGGCTGTAACTTTAGATTAAATGAAGTTGCTATTAATAAACTTTATCAGAATATTTTAGAAAATTAGGATGAGACTCCCAAAGATGGGACTGCCTACTTCCTAGATCCTATTCTGTGACCATTCTCATTTGAATAAAAATGTCAAAAGAAAGATCCCATGAGTGAGAATGTGCCCCAGCACACACTATTTTTACAGCTAGACTTTCTTAGGTTTTGTAACCTCCAGACCCTTGGAGTAGGGGTGGCCTATTTAGTCCTCCATTTTGCAGCATCTGTTTTTTTCCTCCCTAACTTAGGTCATGGTGGCTCTGGGAGAAGTGTCAGGCTGATAACAAAGGTTGATGGTTCAAACCACCTACCAGCTGCTCCACAGGACAAAGAGACTAGCTGCTCCCATGAAGAGTCATAGCCTGAATCCCCATTTATGGTTACTATGCGTTGGAGTCAATTTGATGGCAGTGGGTTTTGGGGGTTCCAAATTCATTAAGTAATAGTTTGGCATGCTGTTGATGTTTATAGGGAAGAGCAGAACAGATTACAAGCTTATTTGCAATTTCTCTACCTTAACTATGATTTGGTCTCTTCTTCACAAACTAATCCAGGATGTAAAACACGAGTTAATCAAGCTGGTCAAGGCAGCGGGATTTTCATCATCCACAACTCCTAGCAGCTGGGAAGAAAACAGAGCTCCACAGACCCTCTCCTTTCAAGAAATTGCCCTTCTTAAAGCTGTTCTGGCCGCTGGGCTATATGATAATGTTGGGAAGATAATCTACACAAAATCAGTGGATCTTACAGAAAAACTGGCTTGCATGGTGGAGACAGCCCAGGGCAAAGCACAAGTACATCCCTCCTCTGTAAATAGAGATTTGCAAACATACGGGTGGCTCTTGTACCAGGAGAAGGTAAAGTGTAGTCTATTGTGTCGAGCACATTTGTACATATGTTGCCATCATTTTCAAAACATTTTCTTTCTACTTGAGCCTGTGGTAGCAGCTTCTCGTTATTCCCCTTATTCCCTTATTCCCCCACCCGCCCCCCTCATGAACCCTTGATACTTTAAATTTTTTTTTCCATGTCTTACACTGACCGCTGTCCCCCTTCAGCCAAATCAACCCATTCTTAAATGCCAGTAAGCAGAGCATGTTTTAGAAGTCATTCAAAATTCAAGTCACTATGCCCCATCATGTCTCAAATTGAATTACTCATTTGTAGTCATTTTAAATCAACATATACAGTTTATCAGACAACAAAAAAAGTGCTTACTTTGCTTTCATTAATGAAAGATAAAAAATAGAAGATGTCTGCTCTGACCTTCACCATCTTCCACTTGATGGAAGACAAAAAAGAGATGTTCCTGTCTGCCTCTGGCTTACAAACCTTCAACTTAGGGACAACTCCTGCTTGCTCTGTTAAGGAGCCCTAGTGGTTCAGCGGGTTATATATTGGGGTGCTAGACTGCAAGATCAGCAGTGCAAACCCATCATCCACTCCTTGTGAGAAAGATGAGGCTGTCTGTTCTTGTAAATATGTACAGCCTCAGAAACCCAAAGGGGGCAGTTCTCACCTGTCGTACAGAACTCAGTTCTCCTCTGAGTCACATGGCAGTGGGTCTTGAAACCATTGAACCATCCTCTGCTCACAGCAAATTCATCACAATCACCTTCCCTTACTGATTGTGCAGTTTTAAATCATTGAGAAGGCTCCACTGCTCTTCCTCGCACTACCCCACTGCTGTTGAGCCAACTCAAGCCACCCTATTGGACAAAGTAGAACTGCTCTCCCTAGTCTCCAGGGCTGTAAACTTTTGCAAGAGCAAAAAGCACCTTTTTCTCTGGTGGGTTTAAACTGCTGACCTGGTGACCAGCTGAACTAACTTTGCAGTTAGCACCCCAATGGTTAACCTGCTGTGCCCCCGCATTCCAAGCTAAGTAAAACTGTATACACCTGTTTCTACTTAGCTACAAATTCTTAAGAGAATTTGTTAGTAACCTGGGACTACCTGTACTTAAAAGTGTATAGTCCCTGATTATTTTGTAAAAGGTGCTGACTTCAAATGGGAAAAAAAGACTATTACCATTTCCAGATAAGGGGAAGGATGGATGAGGTAGTGAAACTATAATTTGACAACAGCCTGTGACATAATACAACCTAAGGTAATGTAATAGTGAACCTTTTCAATCATCGCTACATTGCCACCCCATTTACTTAGCTGTAGCGTGTGGTAAAGGTTAAGGTGACATTTTCTCTTCTGTCATAGTTATCTCCTAGTCACGATCTTTAGGCAGCGTCAGAAGAAAAGGGGCAGTTGTGTTTCGGTGGGAGACTCCCCCCTCGTGCAGGATGCCTGTGCCATTCCTGGCCAGTGCGCCTCGAGCTCAGTCCATGCTCAACAGTCAGTGGAGGCAGGCCGTTGTGTTGCTGTGAAGCCTAACACGCACGTTACAGTGGAGTCTTAAGACTAAGGCAGACGAGGAAGAAAGACCCAGCTATGGGCCAGTGCAAAGCTTATCGGTCACAACCATCCGATCCTATTGTGCACGGGGTTACCAGGAGGCAGGGCTACCCTACAGAAGCAACAGCAGCAGGAGAAGGAACTGCGTCACTGTGAAATGTCTTTGTTCATCCTTTGCTCATCGAATGTCTCACGTTTCTATTGGTAATGCAGCAAGGATCCATCATTTCAAGCCCTGGCTTGAATAACTCCCAGCGTTTCATTAACTTTGAAAAATGTAAAAGATGAGAAATTACTGGCTGGTGGTATTCTTGGCTAGAGCTAAACATTGGTCAAAAAGCCAAATACTTTGAACCCTAATAATGTTTTAAATGACTTTAATAGTATAAATGCACAGATGATGGTAGTGATTGTTGTGAAATCGGTTAATCATGCATATAAAGCGCCTGTAACCAGGAAGCTGTACAAAAAATGTATGCCTTTAAATATATAGCCCAAATTATTTTAAATGGGTACATGAAATAGATAAATGGTGTTTTATCGTTTTAGGCTGTGAGGTTGTTTTCTCACCCCTTTCTTTCCACACAGGTAAGGTATGCCCGAGTGTATTTGAGAGAAACTACCCTAATCACCCCTTTTCCAGTTTTACTTTTTGGTGGCGAAATAGAAGTTCAGCACCGGGAGCGTCTTCTCTCTGTTGACGGCTGGATCTATTTTCAGGTAGGCAGTACAATGATTTTTCTGACAGCAACATTTTCTACTTCCAGTACCTTTGGGATAGATCGTTCTTGAAGTGGAGTTTGCATCATTTCCTATGGTTTGAGTTAAAGTAGAACATGGTCATATTTGATACTGATTTTGCCATTTTAAATCCATTAAACTTGGAAATGAAGTTATTGTTATTACAAATTATATTTATTAGCAATAGCAATTGTAACTTGCCAGCAGTTATGTGTTTTACATGAATTATCAAATTTAAAATCCTAACAATTGGATAATTTTTTTAAAAATTATTTTATTGGGGGCTTGTACAATTCTTATCACAATTCATATATACATCCATTGTGTCAAGCACATATGTACATTCACTGCCCTCATCATCATTCTCAAAACATTTGTCTTCTACTCTATCCCTTAATATCAGCTGCCCATTTTCCCCCTCCCTCCCCACTCCCCCTCCCTTGTGAGCCCTCCATAATTCACAAATCATTATTGTTTTGTCATAAGTTACACTCTCCGCCATCTCCCCCCGCCCTCTTCTCTGCTGTCCATCCCCCAGGGAGGAGGCTATACGTAGACAATTAGATAATTTTTGTAGTTCATAAGGGACTTAAGCTCAGTGAGAAGTTAAGCCCTTCCCTTAATTATATGCCTTTTACCAGTTGAGCAAGATTAAACCTATAACTGTCTAATGCCCAAATTCATGCATTTGCCACTGTGTTCTACCACAAGGTCAGCAGTTTGAACCTACCAGTCTCTCTGAGCGAAAATGAGGAGGCTTTTTACTCCTATAGAATTACAATCTCAGAAACCCACAGGGGCCTTTCTGGTCTGTCCCATAAGGTTGCTCGGAGTCAGAATCGCTAGATGACAGTGAGTGTCTACCATCTACACCACTGTTTGCCAAAGTGGTGATACTGTCCCCTGGGGGGTACTGGAATGATGCAGGGGGCGATGAAACAAGCAGATACCTACACATTATCCTGGATTGTGGACTATAGCACAAGTGTTTAATTGTGGGGGGAGGGTGAGAAGGAGGCTGGGTGATTTTTTTCTGAAAAGAAGGTGGTAAGCCAAGTTAGTTAGGAACCCTACTTGGGATTTTGCAGTGTCTCAAACTCACTATCATGCAGTCACTTCTGATTGTATATGATATATGCATATATGATATTATTACTGATCTACATTAAGACTAAAAATCACAAAGATATTGTCTACATATACTAGGATCATTACATGGGAGAATTAGCTATGCTTACTCACTGCCATCAAGTCAATTCTGACTCATGGGGACACCATAAGCCAGGGTAGAACTGCCCTAATGGGTTTCTGACACTGTAACTCTTTACGGGAACAGAAAGAGTTCCCATGGTGGTTTTCAACTGATGTTGTAGTACAGCCCAACCTGTAACCCACTATGCCACTAGGGGCCTTAGGGACATATACCCCTGGGTATAATTCAGTTCCTTTTCCTCTGCAGGAGAGGAGAGAATATAATAACTGCTGTCCTCCTGTCTTTCACATGAGAAGACATTGTGGTATAGTAGCAGCTTTGCAAGTAGATGGACCAAAAGTCCTGCATGAAAGAACTGTGTGCACACCCTGCGCCTGCACTTTAAAGTGTAGAAGGGTAGTGCTTTATTGCTCTGTTGGGTACATTCCAAAAATCTATTACGGTGAGAATAAATAATAAAAGCACAGAAAATGGGTGGGTATTAGTTAATATTGAAACATATCTGATAGTATATCTAAAAATATTTAAAATAGGAAAGAAAGTAAAATAAAGAACTTTTTCCTTTAAAACATAGAAATAGGAGTTGTGTTAGATAGGAATATCTTACATTTGTTTAAAAGTTGGAAAAAAAATTTATATTGAGGAACATCTTAAATATTATGTCAGATTATCACAAGTACCCACAGCTTATCCTTTTTAAGCACTTTATTTACAAAGTAAAAGTTGGATAATATGGAAAATCAATATGTACACTGGGGGTTTCAAAAAAATCACATACAAATTTAACTAAGGTCATGGAATTTTCCCAAACTTTTTTAAGCCCCTTACCTATATACCAAATTTCCCAAAACAGCAGCTCTTTTAAAAAAATTTTAAATTTAAAAAAACTCAAATACTTCTATTTTTTAAATGTGTTCAAGCAATCATAACCAAAAAATAACCCATTGAATATTACATTTTATGTTTAAGTTCATTTTTAAGTTCATGTTGTCAAGTCTTACCATGTCTTTTCCACTGAGCCTCAATGCATATATTTTTCACAGTATACACATCACTTTTTTGGTGGCAGCATAATATTTTGTTATGTTGATTTGCTGGAATTTGTCTAATCATTCCACTTAATGTTTAACATTTGGGTTCATTTCTAGTTTTAACAATTTTAAATAACAGTGCTAGGTTCCCAAAAGTGGAATTACTAGGTCAGAAAATGCAAATATGTTTTAATGCATATGGTCAGTATGCTTCATAGTTTTAATGCATATGGTCAGTATGCTTCTCTCAAAAAATTAGACCAACATCAGTACTACCTGCAAGAAATAAATTTATTCCCTTTGCAGCCCATTAACATTGGCAGGTTTAAACTAAAATCTAACACATTCTGTACGTTAGAGCACGGTAGCTATAGTACTGGAGAGTTGGATTTTATACCAGTCTTTAATACTATGTATGGATTTTCCAAATAGATATGGAGGGAATTTTCGAGGTGACAGAAAGGCTCTAGGAGCCCTGATGGCATCGTGGCTAAAGCACTGAACTGCTAGCCAAAAGGTTGGCTATTCAGAACACCAGCCGCTCCACAGGGAAAGACATGGTGGTCTGCTTCTGTCACAGTTACAGTCTTGGAAATCATATGAGACATCTACTCTGTCCTATGAGGTTAAGAGTCAGAATCAAATAGACAGCAGTGAGTTAAAAGTGTTCTAAAATTGAGTTGTGATAAAGGTTACAGAACTCTACAAATGTATTAAAAATTATTGAATTGTACACAGAATAGTGAGTGAATAAATATTATGGATTCTAAATTATACCTCAATAAAAACTGGAAGAAAAAAAAACACCTTTCAAAAAAAAAAAAAGTAGAGCCTTGACACCTACAGAGCTCATGTAAGAGAGGAAAACAGCATCATTGTTGGCACAGCAGTTGGTTTATTTTGCGGAAGATGTGCAATTGAGGCTTACATAGCTTAGCTACTTGCTTTAATTTTCTCCCATTGTATTTCATATTAAAACCAAGATGTGCTAAGGCAGCTTGTAAGACTTATGAGCTTGCTCTCATTTTTCTTTTTTTTTAACCACCCTGATGCTCTCCTGGATTAACTTTGTCATCTTCTCTCAACAGGCCCCTGTAAAGATAGCTGTTATTTTCAAGCAGCTACGAGTTCTTATTGATTCGGTTTTAAGAAAAAAACTTGAAAATCCTAAGATGTCCCTTGAAAGTAAGTGTTAGATTGTAAGCAAATGGAAGGCAGTATGGATGTGTAATTGTATGTATGTATGTATGTATGTATGTATGTATGTATGTATGTATGTATGTGTGTGTATCAATAGGCACATATAGAGGGGGGCTTCAAAAAGGTTGTGAGAAAATTACATTATCTTAATGTAATCTCTTTTACATTAATCTGTTTTTCCATGAACTTTCTGATTCCCCTGGCTTATGTACATGTGCAGGAAAAGTTCATAAGTCTAAAAGATATTCAAAATTGTATATACTGTGGCACATGGAGGTCTTAATTGACATGATTACAAATTGTTTCAATAAGAAGTATCTTATGCTGAATTCCATCTAACTCACAATTCTTGATTCACAATTTAATTATGTACTTGATTCTTTTCATTTCTTCCTCTTCTAAGGTTCAGTTCTAAACTGCTGGCCATTTCACTGGGGTGGGGGTGGGGGGCGGGGAGTGATAAGCATAGTAAACTTTAGTCCTTAACCCCATTTTAGTAAGTTGGTAATGCAGCTATTATGAGAATGAGAGATTTTCTGTTGGATTTCTCCCTGGGTGGCTTCCCTACTGATCCCCAAATCTATACAATGAAGAGAATCTTCAACGGCGGACACCTACATTTCCAGTTAGCCTGGTGCAAAACTTCCCAAATTGGTTAAATCAACACAGTTGTCCCACTTGCTTGTGAAAACTTTAAGTTTCAAGACCCAGATACATTGATTCTCCTCTATGGGTCAGGCCCGCGTGGCTATAAGGTTATTTTTCAATCTTTAAAATTTTCAGCACTTTCCACCTGTGACCACCGCCAGTTGTTTATTTTTAGTACACTGGATGGTTTCCCTGGTGAATGTTAGGATTTTCCCATTTAAGGTTTGGTAGGCTGTATCCTCATGCTTTGATTTAGTTTCTTTCCCTAGCTTCTGCATTTCTGGCAAACTGGTATTTGCAGTTAGCTGCTTGATTAGAAGCAGTTTTAGGGAAGTAGTATTTATTCCCTAGGGGGTGTTGTATGCGTCCCATTGCGCCACACCAGGAAGCACTGGAGTTTGATTGTCCTAGTAAGCACAGCTCCTGGGTTCAGGTGTTGTGGTATTGTGTTTTGAGCAAATGTTCCCAGTTAACTGATAATCTGGCAGGTTGGGAGCTGCTGACCTAGTGGCGCTCCCCTGAAGAGTGGGAGCCCCGTGTGTAACTGAAGGTTTTCTCGTTATGCTAGAAACCTGCATTATGTGCTGGCAGATTATTTAGTCTGGGCTTCTTGCTTAAAGAACGCTGTGAATTACAACTCAACTTAATCCAGCCTTAAATCCATTATATGAAAGGATTTTCAGTATTTAAAATGATTTCATTGTTTCCCTTTTCCACCAAAGGGAAGCAGGATTTACTCTCAGGTGTAACGTGCACTTTGGCTTGGGAAGGAGAGGCTGTGGCACGTTAGTGTCCTCTCCTCCTGGACTTCCCTGTAAGACAAGTTGTGATGGAACATAATGACCAGTTTCTTTACAGAGACATCCTTTCTGGACTTCCTTCTGTATGTGTGTGTGTTTTACTTCCTATTCTTCCTTACACTGAAAACCACAGTTCTTTCTAGACCTGCCATTGTTCCCCTTCCAGGAAGCGACTGATCCTTCCTATCTTCTTTTAAATGTCACTATAAGTCCCCAAGGATTTGAATGTCATCTCATTCTGATAGGACCAAGCCCACCTATCAGAATGAGATGTCTAATAAAGGTGGAATTTGAGTCTTGATAAAGACAACTCTCTGAAAGTTGGATATAGGAAGTCCCGATCGGAACTGTGTGGTAGAAGCAGCTGTTGACAAGTCATAAATAATGCAGCCACTGTTGCCCTCTGCCATATCACCTGCTACTTTATTCCTTTGTTGTGTAAAAGAGTCTATCACTTACTCATTGACACCTCTCCAGAACCACTTCCCTATCAGAACTTTGTTTCCATTGCACCTTGAGGAGCTGTCCTGCCCACCTCGTCCCACCCCCGCCCCTGGCACAGTAGTGGCTTGTTGGGCTGCAGTTTGAAACCATGGACTGCTCCTCTGGGATGATGGAGCATTCAACTCCATGGACAGTTACAGACTGGGGAACTCATGGGGGCAGTCTTACCTTGTGCTAGAGCAGCGGTTCTCAACCTGGGGGTCGAAAGACCCTCTCACAGGGATTGCCCAATTCATAACAGTAGCAAAATGACAGTTATGAAGTAGCAACGAAAATAATTTTATGGTTGGGGGATCACCACAACATGAGGAACTATATTAAAGCGTTGCGGCATTAGGAAGATTAAGAATCACTGCCTTAACCTATACATTGCCTTTCATCAAATTATAGCAATTAAAATTTAAATAATCTTTGTAGGGCAACAAATTGTATTTTATAGGCATCTCTAGTTTCGTGGTGAATGATACTAGTGTTCATTTTGTGTTCTAATTTATGAGGCTCTTTTAATAAAGAATAATTAGCCAATAGTAAATTTATTCATGGTTTTCTTTTTCTCCCATTCAGATGACAAGATTCTACAAATCATCACAGAATTAATAAAAACAGAATAATTGAAACTCATGGTCAATCGCTTTAAATTTTAAGAGGAAGATACAGAGTCAGGAAATTATGTGGACCATCCAATGAAATGTCTCAGTACTTTCAACGGTACTAGCCACAATTTACAGGTGGCAAGAAAAAGCACATCCTTTAAACAGGTGTAATTTTCTAGTTCCTTTCTAATGATGATTATTCTCAATGTATTTGCCACTACATTTACAGTAAATTCTTTGGTATCATTCATGGTTTGCTGTCATTATTTGCCTTAACAACAAGGACTGTGTCTGAAATATTGACAACTTAAGATTGTGTTTCCTAATGAACCCCCTATCTCCTATCAGCCCTTGAAATCTGGAGAATTTAGATCTTCTTGAGAAAAAATGAGCTCCAGAAAGTTCTAACTATAGATTTCCAGGAAACAAAAAACTTAAGCAATTAGTTGTTTCATATTCAAAATTTAAATGTGTACTGCTGTTACCAGACCCTATCCTTCTCAGTGGCATTCACAAAGCCTAGAGACATCATGAACGGGATTTGCCGATGCTCCTGTCAACCTTGAAACACTTTCTTAAACGTTGACATGGCTACCCTTGCGTCCATTTCATAGCTACAATTGAACTGATACATCGGCAAGTTGGAATCTGAATGCATACATTTCTTCAGCGGTGCAAAAGTGGCAAGGGGGCCACATCTGACCTCCTCTGGCTACTCAAGGGAGGAGAATCACCAATCCACAGCCTGTTGCTATGAGCAGAGTTCAGATGTGCCTCTCCCCTCCATCCTTTATCCTGACAGCAACTCTTCCTTACTTACACACCACACTACTCTGCTGGATTCCATAGCCCCTGCAGTCGCCACGCAGTCGATTCTGACTTACAGCAACCCTCTCAGCCATGGTAGAACTGTCCCCTTTGGCTTTCCAAATCTGTAACTCTTGTAAGAGTAGAAAGCCTAATCTTACAGCCAAAGAGCAGCTGGTGGTTTCGAACTGCTGACCCTGCCGTTAGCAGCCTAACATGTAACCACTAATCACCAGGAACCTCACACAGAACTTACAATACTCAAAATTAAGGGTATTTAGGAAGTTAACAGGTTACCACAAGTAAGGATCAGTAAACTAAAAATATAGCAATACCTCAGCCAGTCGCCAAGTCTCTCCCTCTGGTCCTCAGTCTCAGCCATGAGTTCCCTGGGCTCTGGTTCCAGGGGCCAAGAAACCCACCTGCTGCTCTGCCTCAGTCTCTTGACTCAGTGCTGCCCCTCTGCTGTCTCCTGGTCTCTGTGCCCCAAACTCTGCTTTTGCAATGCCTTGGCACCTACCATTCCAGAGATTGCGAATGTGCTCCACTGGTGGCTCTTCTTCCTTGACAGTCCTGAGACCTCTCTGTTCCTGCTCCTGAGATGGGGAGTGCAACTAAAACAGACCCATCCCCACGATTCGTGTCTTACACACCTCATTTGCATGGAATTACAGAGACATGGAGAGACGAGCCATATTGAGAAATTTCACTTCGCAAGTGCCTTCGTTTGGTTTGCTTAACAGGATCCTTTGAAACAAAAACTTAAAGATCTGAACATGACCTCAAAATTTCTAAGTGATCAGGGCCTTTTCTATGGTTCCGTAGTCCCCTTCTCAAGCTGCTCCTCTCCCTCGTCAAGCTGCCCCAGCCGCACTGGGATCCTTGGGATTCCTAGAAAATGCCAAGCCTTTCCCCCTTCTTTTTAAGCACGCACAGCTTCTAGTTCTTCACTGAACAGATCTCATTCCATGACGGTGCTACCTCCACAGACGACCCTACTGATGAGAGTCATTCTTATCACTCCCATAACAGTTTTCTCAGCTTTTTCCACGCGTTTCTTATCCCAGCAGACTCTACATTGCTGCTCCTTGACTGCTGTTCACTAATGGATAAACCTAGCTAGCACAATGCCTGCCACAGACAGAGATTGTCTTACGAAGGCCAAGGAAAGTTTCTGGAACCACTGTATTGTCTTTAGTGACCTTATGGATTATGAAAAAGTCATTTGAATGGCGAGTGGCAAGGAAGGTCACTGTCAGGACCCAGTAACAACCACACATTTACTCACTAGAACTCAGGACTCACAGGCAGGTGTCCTCGCTGCTATAGCTTACTGCAGAGAAGGGACACCCAGGAGGATCAGCAAGGGGAAAGGGCCATCAGCAGACTTACCGAATCTGCACAGGCTGCCTAGGTGTGGTACAGCATTTCTGCCTCGGGAGGCCACTGGAGTCGAGCAGTTTTATTGGGGACTGCTCCCATAGGCACAGTGACTGGCCAGTCACAAGTAGACAGTGTACACTACCAGAAGGAAAGCAGCTTTCAGTGTCCCCAAGCAGACAAAACAGCATCATCGACAAGTAGAGGTTTTCAAAAGGCAAATTCCTGAGTGCTCGCCAAGACCCCCATAAGACCATCTCATTTCGCCCCCCTCACATTTCACTCAGCGGTTCTCAACCTGGGGGTGGCGCCCCCTTTGGGGGTCCGACCCTTCCACAGGGGTCACCTGATTCATAACAGTAGCAAAATTAAAGTTATGAAGTAGCAATGAAGATAATTGTATGGTGGGGAGGGAGGTCACCACAACATGAGGAACTGTATGAAAGGGTCGCGGCATTAAGTAGGTTGAGAACCGCTGCCTTAAACAAACCTTCCTAATGATACCAACTCTAAGCCTGCTATGTTAACTCCTATGTAAGCAGAAATGAACATTTTATACATAGAGTCAAAAAACAAAACTTCTGGCATCAAATTGATCCCGACTCATAGCTACCTTGTGCCGTACAGAATGAACTGTTCCAGAGGCTTTCTTGACTAATCTTTAGGGAGCTGATTGCCAGTCCTTTCTTCTGTGGGGCCACCAAGTGGGTACAAAACAATTTTTCGGTTAGTAGGTGAGCACAAACTCTGTGTTTTTCTGTCATATCTGTAATAATAAGTCAAGCATCACATTAAGACAGAAACTTTAATACTTTGATGAAATAAATTTCACAGTTCTTTGTTAAACTTGTACATATTACCAAAAATAAAGTCTCCCATAGAGCTTTGGGTTAGAAATTGATATTATAATATAGAATGCTGAGCTGCACGGTGCTGAAATATAATAGGTGCTCTACAGATGGTTTGCATGTGTGGTCCTTTAACCAGATACAGAAATCGGATCTCTGGTAATGGTGTAGAAGTACAAGTTAGATCACTGGGATAGATGGTTTTCATCAACTTGGCTGGGCCAGGGTTTCAGACTTTGCAAGTCTGGCTAGACCAGAGGATGTACACTGGTACAGATAGGAACTGGAAATACAGGGAATCCAGGGCGGATGATCCCTTCAGGACCAGTGGTGTGAGTGGTGATACTGGGAGCGTAGAGGGAGAGTGGGTTGGAAAGTGGGAACCGATTACAAGGATCTACCTGTGACCTCCTCCCTGGGGGATGGACAACAGAAAAGTGGGTGAAGGGAGACGTTGGACAGGGCAAGATATGACAAAATAATAATTTATAAATTATCAAGGGTTCGTGAGGGAGGATAGGAGAGGGGAGGGAGGGGAAAAAAATGACCTGATGCCGGGGGCTTAAGTGGAGAGAAATGTTTTGAGAATGATGAGGGCAATGAATGTGCGTTACACAATTGTGCTTTATACAATTGATGTATATATGGAGTATGATAAGAGTTATATGAGCTCCTAATAAAACAATTTAAAAAATACAAAGTAAAATATTATATTGAAATGTGCAAAGAGCTAGGTGTAGAAAGTCAAATGAGAAGAAAACAAAAGCATATCACAAGCTGAAAGAACTGAAGAAAAAAATGCATACCTCAAGTTTCAAGGATTCTATGGCCAAAATATTGAAAGATGCAGGAAGCATCAAAAGAAAAATGAAGAAATACATTGTCACTGCACCAAGAAGAACTTGTTAACATTCAACCATTTCAAAAGGTAACATATGATCAAGAACAAACGAAACTGAAGGAAGGTGTCTAAGCTGCAAGGAAGGCATTAGCAAAAAACAAGGCTCCAGGAATTAGCAGAATACCAGTTGAAATATTTCAGCACTCTAACAAAGCACTGGAAATACTCATTCATCTACAGTATACCAAGAAATTTGGAAGCTACCTAGCCAACTAACTGGAAGAGATCCTTATCTGTGCCCATGCCAATGAAAGGTAACTCAATAGGATGAAAAAATTATTGAACAGTATCATTAATAGCACATGCAAGTAAGAGTTTGCTGAAGATAATGAAAAAATTGTAGCAGTAGGCCAACAGAGAGCTCCCAGAATTTTAAGCTGGATTCAGAAGAGGTCATGTCATGAGGAATATCAGTGCTTACATCAGATGGCTCCTGGCTGTAAGCAGAGATTACCAGAAAGCTTACTTTTTTGACTCTGCAACAGCATTTGATTGTGTGTGGTTACACGTTAGGCTGTGATCCACAAGGTCAGCAGTTCAAAACCACCAGCTGCTCTGTGGAGCACAAAGGGGCTTTCTTCTCCTATAAAGAGTTAACAGTCTCAAAAACTCAGAGGCAGTTCTACCCTATCCTGAAAGGTCACTGTGAGTCAGCATTGACTTGATGGCGGTGAAAGAGAGAGAATTACAAACTATGAATAATGTTGAGCAGAATGGGAATCCCAAACACTTCATTGTGTTCATGCAGAATCAATACATGGATCAAGCAGCAGGTGTGTAAACAGAAAAAGAAAAAAAAAAGAAAGAAAGAATGTATGGTTAAAAATCAGGAAAGGTATGCATCCGGGTTGTATTCTTTCACCTAATTTATTCACTCTGGGTGCTGAGCAAATACCGGTAATCCAAAAGCTGGACTATGTGAGGAAGAACTCAGCATCAGGATTGGGGGGTGTTTTATTAACAACCTGTGATATGCAGACAGGGAAACAACCTTGCTTGCTGGCAGAAAGGAGGGCTGGGAGCATTGCTAATGAAGAGCAAGATTGCCACCCTCAGTAGGGATTGCAACTCAATGTAAAGAAGACCAAAATCCTCACAACTGGACCAATAGGTAACACCATGGTAAATGGATAAAAGATAGAAGTTGTCAAGGATTTCATCTTGCTTGGACCCACAATCAATGCTCATGGAAACAGCAGTCAGGAAATCAAGCGACATATCGCATGGGCAAATCTGCTGCACAAGATCACTTTACAGTGATGAAGAGCAAATAAGTTACCTCGAGGATAAAGGTGCATCTGACCCAAGCCCA